TTTATCTCAGCAACAATATTATGTGCAGTTTGGTCACTTATGTTCAAACAAAACTGATTTAAAGTAGAACAATTACAGAAAAAGGCCAACAGGATGACTAGAGGCAGGTACGCATGTAAGAGGCCATGTTTCAAAAGCCTAACTACAAAGCAAAGATTAGAGAAGGGGGCTTTTCTAGTTTAGCTAAATGAAGGCTGACAATAAGATTGCTGTCTCTTTATACACTAGAAAAATCAACACTGGGGATCGAATAAGAACTAAAGGTCAATGCTGGCACAAATTGGCACAAGGACAAATGCACATAAGCTTGTCATGAATACACTTAGACTGGAAATGAGAAGTTTTATAACCACTACAGAAATCAGGCACCAGGCAGCTTTCTAACTGGAATAACAAATACTAAAAAGTTAACTTTTTAAGCCAGAGTTTGACAAGTTTCTGAAGAGGATTATATATGTTTTCCTATGAGAAAGCAGCACTAGAGCTGAAAACTGAAGAGGTCCCTTCCAGTCCTATGCTCTTATTTCCATCAAAGCAGTCGTGATGTCTTTGCCATGGTGATATTTACAAAACAAAGCTACAGAAAATCAACTCAGTGGTTTTTAAGCATTACAAATATTTGAAACCTTCAAGCTCTGAAAAGCATGCGCTCCATTAGCTGGGAAATGAATCTCTCTAGTGTGAACTGATCTGGAAACATTCTGGTTTCATATAACTTTAAAACGCAGATCTCAAGAAATCACTGAGCAAATTTGTTTAAACAATGATTGATTAACCAATCTAAATATGTAACACCTAATGAGGATTACATATCGAAGTCAAGTCGCAGACTTCAGGTCTTTTGCCATCAGAAAAAAAGCTTTATTAGCTTTCAAATAGTATATTCTTCCTATCCACCCCCTTAAATTCAAACACAGAAGGGATTTTGTTTAAACTTTCAAAAAAACCTAACCCACAATTGGATAAAGACCAGACATAGCCCAAAAGCTTAATGTTTCAGTAAGTAAGGAGTGCACGGAAAGAAGACATTAATGGAAACTCTTTTGGAACTCCTAAGTGCAGAGGATGATATCTAGTGACAGCTATAATACTGAATCTGCACTGCCATTAAACTTAATCTTCGATATTTTTATTGCAACCTGACCCACTACGACATCTCTAAAGAAAATTACATTGTACACTACTATTTCAAGAAGTCAAACTTAGCTAGTCATCTGGGCCATAAAATAGCAGATTACTCCATCAGGCTGGCTAAAGCAACTAGGAATAAAACTAGATTTACCAACCACATTATTTTTATTAGGAAATGTTTCAAAGCAGACATAATCCCAAAAGACTTCAGTCTCATTCCATCCAAAAATACACAACGGAGAGCAGCAAAAACATGAACTGCAGTATGAGGTACAATTTGTAAATGCGAGGAAAAAAACACAAGATGTGCTGTAATACATCATCCTATCAAAGCAAAAGAAATTAACTGCACATAGAAATAGAGAAGAATAAAAACTTCTACACAATTCATGTATTAACAATTTAAACCTTTGTTATAAGCTCTGACATGTGTTAATAGGAATCGCTCCATTGAATCCCTGCACGTCAAGATTGAGTCTGTACTCCTTCTGCTTTCTTTGAAATTGCAGGCTAATATCAGTGTACTAAATCACAGCGAGAGAGTAAAACCTCCAGAAAGGGCAAAAGGAAAAAAACAGTATCCTTAACAACAATATTCCTGAAGAACTCTGGTGTGTTAGCATTACATGCATTTTACTTTGGATCATAGCCACAGAACAGCTAAGGCACTGCTTCTTCTGTAATCACTCTAAATGTGGGGAACTGCTCATAATAGTATCAGAAAAAAAGTAGTGATTTTAACTTGGCAATCCTAGCGCTTCTCAGTAATTCCTTGTACCGTCATGTTTTCTAACAGGTATTCATGCATACATAATACATAGGTCTTTATAGATCTGGAGTGAAGGAGAAGTAAGGGATTTGATATCTGGAAAGGCAAATTTTAAATTTTAAATACTGCCAAAGTAGGTTAGATGTATGATGTGTGTTTTATCATCTAACTGAGTATTCATGTCTTTCAGTTTTAACTCTTTTTTTCCTAGGCAACACGATCACCTCAGGCAGTTTGGTTTAAAGGCTTCAGCCAACGTAAAAATGTATTTAAATTAGCCAGGCGTTTGTTACTTTTTTTTTATTAATATTGAAATACCGTCTGTATTTTACAAAGGTGGTTCTATTATGGTCGCTGCATCAAACATAGAATATTAATCAGACTGTGAAGCTCCTCTAATTATGTGCCACATTTAAGTAACTTAAATTCTGCTAAGTGCTATGGCCACAGATATTGTATGCATAATCTAACTGAGTTTTGAGTCATTTCCCTTTTCTTATCTGATTTTATTCTACACAGGAAATGACAGGGTCATTTGGAAAGAACTGCAGTGAAAGATCAAAAAGGAAACCTGATTGAGAACACTGCATAATTGCCTGCGCTAGAGAAAAAATAAAAACCAACAAGTTTACAATCCATCACTGTAAGATTTCTCTGGAAAACACATACTGCGGTTTCTCTAAAAGGCTATCCACTGCAACACTAAAAACCGCTTTTATTTGTTGTAGCTGCATGTCTCTTAAAGGAGCAGATCTTCCCATTAGGCTACTGGACCTTTATTCAGTAGGTCTTACTTTCAGCACACGTGGAGCGCAAATTTACTCAGTGAGCTAAAGAAAGCCATTTCAGTTGAAGCAAGTAATTTCACTGACTTGTCTCAAAGTCTTCACTTACAAAACGAGCTAATACTGTAATTAAGCTCTTCGAACGAATGGTTCTTGTTATTTGGGCAAATCTGGCCATTACAATTTATAGTCCCCCATTCCAAAAGAACAGACTTTTATTGCTGGAGCTAAAAGAAAACGTTTTAGACATTAACAGCACTGACCTTAGAGTAAGGATCACATCAAGCTGTGGGCCACAGCGTGTCTTTTTTTTGTGTGTGTAAGACATTGTCCTATGTAGCAAGACAGCAGTCAGCGTTTCAGCTCAGATTTATTGTCTATTTTCAGTACACAGATTTCCCAGTAGATCTCCTGCCCCCTTCTGTTCCCTGAGCAGAAGCACCACAGGGCACGTAACTCTAGGCAGGCTCCTGCCATAGCCATACAGACCAAAGTACACCTGCCCCAGTAACTTCTCAGGGTTTCAGCTGTTAATCTAAGGAACTACAAACACAGGAGTTAATGTTCTCCTTCATTGTAATTAGAAATGTTTACCCATAAAGTTGTAGCTAAAGAACTCAAATCTGTGTTTTCATCTCTCGTAACATTTTAACATATAAAGCAGGTATAAATAATGCCATGAATTTGTATGTGTAGCTTCAATGCCTTAAACTGTTACTTATTGAAAAACAATGTATCACCCTATCAAAATAAACTCAACAGGAATATAAGTATTGATTTTCTCCGGCATTGCAGTGTGGCTGGACAAATTAAAGACTCCCTGCCACGGAACTCGCAATACAAAACAGATGGATTAAACTGAATCGGCACAGAGGTAAGAAATGGACATAAAAGTGTTATGGCTAAAAATTGCCATGAAGGTTTTCGTGACAGTTACAACTGTAGATTGCACTTGTTCCTTTGATGGATCATCACCAAACAATATACAGAAACACATTCCTGCCATTCCCAAGTGGAGGCGGTACCTTCAGCAAAGGTGGTACTCCCAGCAGAGAGACCGCGCAGAGCAACCATTCCTCCATGGCTGAGACAGCGTACACTGATCTCAGCCATGCAGAAATGGGTTAAAAGAAAACATAAAGACTTTTCTTTTAACCTAGTCTACAACTGATAGGATACATTACCCAAATTTACACAAGAAATTACTTAATCAAAGCCTCATTAAAAATAATTTTACCAATTAGAAATTGCTAACCACTCATTGATCTGATCAGCTAATATAAAAAAACGACCCCAACACATTAATGTGGAAGTCCTGCTCCACTTATGTAGTGACAGTTCTGTCACTGATTTCATCGCAGTTGGAATTTTAAACCATCTTACAAATGATGAGAATGGTTTCCAAATATTTGCATCCATGTAAAGAAAATTCCTTGCTTTTTTTTTTTTCTATTTAAAAGCAACACAGGAAGAATCTATCCCACATCATTTGCAGAGTCAAAATATCACCCTAAAACGTAAAGAAAATTTTTCAGTGCATTAACTTCAACTTCACCAAGTACTGATAAGCTAAAATAGAAGTGCCACCAAAAAAAATCCACTACTGTGCTTCTCTGAGTTGTCTGTCTCCTAATATGAACTATAAATGTAAATCCTTTTCAACGCATTGTAACATATATCCTCAAAATGCAGAGTCAGGCTAAAAGACGGTTTGTTTGATTAATTCAGTCTGTCTATTTGATTAAGGGTCACATCATGCATCAATGCATTTTCTTATGTATTTTTTCACATATAAGTTAGAATACATGAAAGTTCAGAGTCATGCCAACTCACTATTATTAACTAAATGCTTTCAAATGCTGAATTTCTACCTAGCTTGTTTATTTACAGTCAGTACAATTAACTCTTGGTGGCTACAGTAGCAACAAAACTCTGTACATACACATGCATACATAAATATTAGGACTATGGTCAGACTAGGCTTGGTACACAACATTTTCTGGTTTTAAAAGAGTCAGGCTCATGCCTTGCTAATTCAAATCACATGCATCAACTTATAAATATATACACAAAAGTATTCCTGATTTAACACAACTAACATCTTAACCAAGAAATGCATTTACACTTATTTGAAATCCAAAATTAATTTTGATTACGAGGATCAAAACATCTACCTTGTATTCTTTAATCAGCCATTTTACGTTAGTAATGCAGTCATGTTGACATGAAGTTGCTCTGAGCAATATAAAACATATGCCATGGCACATTCATTAAATAACTCTGCATAATGAGTTCCATCTATATAAATGACTTACCTCGTTACTTATCACAAATTCTTCTCCAGGACTGTGAAAGAGGTATTCATATACTTTATAATGTTTAAATAAGCTGGAAAATAAGATAATATAGTACTATTACAGCTGTAAATCTTTGAAAAGATAACAATATTAAAGATTCTGTTAAACTAAGAATCATTCTCCAGCATTGTAATACTTCAAATTTTACAAAGAAATGGTTGTTTAACTTCAGGTACAATATGCAGAATATTTCAGTTAGAGGATTTACTATCAGATCATCATAGAAAATACGGTATGATACTTAAAAATACATCCACTATGGAGTCCTTATGAAACTGAACTCTGAGAAGACAAAGTTCTACTCTAAAGAAAGTAATTCCTGAAACACTTATCACCAGGATACTTATGCCTTTAATATCAGCAATAGAAGACAAGAAGGAAACAAAGCCAAATCAACTTTCAGATTCTGGAATGGGCTGCCAGTCCAGGGAGCAAGTTTGATCTTGGAACACCAGAAAAATAAAGAATGGAAGCATTTATTCTCTCAAGGTCATGTTTCAAAATCAGCATAGTATTTCCTCAAAGAAAAACTAAAAAAACTAGATTGACACACTGGAGTTTTGTGTATTACAACAAAAGCGACTTTAAATAGACTTTATCAATTGCCTTAAATATTTATCTTCCTTTAAACATGTATTTCTTTCTTTTTCACATGTTTTGAATAATTATCCTTGTTCCCTTTCCTAATGATCAATGATATGGCATTCGTTTAATCAAAGGTTTGGCTTGTCACAGTCCATCTGTTACAATTACTTGCTCTCTTAGAATCATGATACAGAACTTCTGGCTTCTATCATGTCATTTTGACGTATGATTTAAAACACAGCTTTGCGATTCCATAGCAAGTCCAGGTTGAAGAATATTTCCACGAGTTTAATTGCACTCCTGCCTGATGTACCCATGAAAGATACAGCGATATTTGCAGGGAACATCTGTAACTGGTTCCTGTGCTTTCCAGTTAAGGACAGGACACAGGTTCTTTTCTTAAGAGAGCCATCGACTAGGATGGCAATGCCTCTTTTCTCGGCACTTGCAAGGCCACATCTGGAATAATGAGACCTGCTGTGAGGAAGGCTTTGGGCTAGATGGCTTCCAGAAGTACCTTCCACTCAATTTTTCTATGGGTCTGCGATAGTAACTGCTACACCAAACACACACCACTATCCAGCTAATGCTAAAGGTACTGCCACTAGTTGAAGGATACCATGCAAATACTTTGAAAAAGTGTTTATAATACAAGTGCTTGGCCACACCCCTCAGCACAGGCTGCTCTATGAGACATGGCACTGCCCAGGCCTCTCAAAGCCAGCCCCTGCAGCTGCCACCCTGGCCGGCTGCCCCATGACGCTGAGGCTTTTCTCCCACACGGCAGCATCAGACCCCGGCACAGCCGGCAGAAGGGCTCCACCAGCCAGCTGCATGCAAAGTGAGAGGCTGTTGCAGTGGGACGTCGGTGTCTGAAACCCAATCCTGGCTCTGGGAGGTAACGGAGAAGCCAGCTGTGGGAGCCAATGTTCCACACACACTGTTTTAGCTGACTCTGCTTCCCTGAATCACCACTGCCACAGTACCAGAGGTGCCACAGTACCAGAGGTGCCACAGTACCAGAGGTGCCACGAAGCGCTGCAGACCAGGGGTGATTCACTCTAATTTAAGCAGTGCTAAAGTGCTGACCAAAGTACAGCAGCAGTTCTTCCAACCCATGAAAGCAGCTCAGAATTAGGAGACTAAAACGGCGGCACAGCCTGCCTCTCTGCCACAGCAGCAGTGCCTCTTCCAGCAGTTTGTCAAATGCGTCGGTGAAACTTTCCAATGCATTTTTACCCGAAGGGGTGCAGACACTTTTGCACATATGTACAGGTGCATTTCCTAATTTGGTGAGAAGTATTATGGCAGCCTCACTGAGCATTTAGCTCTTTAAGTGACATATAAAAGTTTTATTCTGCAGTCACAATTAATTCAGTCATTCGATTACCATTAGTTAAAAAACAAATCTGTTTACCAACTTGCGTAAGAAATTTGGCTACCATAATCTTACAAGTTCCCTTCCCCCAAACCCAAGAGCACATCTGCAAGTAAGTTGTTACAGTATTTGCCATTTCATTTGCAGTATATTTTTATTGCAGTACTTCACCAAAGAATTCCTGCCATGTTTCAGTGGAGATACAGGAATTATGTTAAAGCATACTTCAGGACTTAAGCTGGAAAGGACTCACACTAATTTATGAAAATATATGTGCCCCCTCACATACACATCTCTTATTTGGTAAAATTCTAACAGAGGTTATTTTTTTTTTTAAATTAACATCACAGACACACAAGAAATAAGATAGAGATATATATATATATGTATCTCTATATCTATCTTTGAAACTACACTGACAGAAGTTAACATTTCAGACTTCTTTTCTCTTATTTATTCCAGTGCCTTGGAACTGAGCCAGACTCACAGCACCTGAAAATCAGCTGTTCCCCTTCTCTTCTAAATGTGTTATGATATTCTTTATGGACTATGTTACAGGTACAGGTAATTCATAACATTCCTTAAAATAGAAGTCATTACTGGCATTTCTGGCACCCTTAATCCTATATCAAGGAAAGAATTCCTCAGTTTACTGCTCTTTAAAACAAATCACGTAAATTATACATCAGTATTTATTTTGAAACCACGGTGTAGTTTTCTTTCTTCTATCAGGCATTATATAAAATGCTTTTTTGCTTTGTATCTGTTGTGAGCAACTGAAAGATTCCCTGCCAGCATTTTTAGCAATTAATAATTACTCTTGCAAGTATGGTTGTTAAGAATAGACCCTCTTTATGATGTCATATGAGAATCTGAAGGTGATTAACAATGACGTATTTCCTTAGCTCCACTGCTTCCTGAAAGGAAACATCAAGAGCTATGTTGATGTATGTTTGCCCATGGAGACAAGATAAAAAGATGATAACTGCCACCTTCCACCAAACCTGAAGGTGTCGTTATAGTTGCTGCACAGTTTGTGCCACTATGGTTAAGCATTTGTCCCCATTTCCATTATAAATCCCATGGGTTTATAGCTCATCTGTAAAAATGTGATCTTAATTAAAACATGTCATACTATCTTGAGTAGAAAAAAAAAGCTATAGGCCTATCATTTAAAATTAAAGAAAAAAAAGTGAAGAACAAGAAAAAATGTTGAAGTAATACATTAATTTGAATTGCAAATAAAACTCAGTCAACCTATTTCTGAGTTCATAAAGTTCAAAATACACCAGCATAAGAAATGTGCTGATTCAGTTCTTATTTAGAAGAAAAATATTCAAATGACTGAAATAATGGATTGTATAAACTGGACACATATGACACATTTCACTGTGTGTATATGTATCTATGACCTTGCAGCAGCACATACTTGTAATAAATTGAGCAGTTTGGACATATAACCACATATTTGGTGGCCAAAATACCATTCTGCTGCAAAAGTCTGGTGGCCTGATTGTATTCCCGCCCAGTTAACACTTTGGTGCCACTAGGATGGAGCACCCAATCTCTTGGATGAAATTCTTGCGACTGTGAAGGAATTACTTCATGGACAACACACTTCTCAATGGACAACTTACACAAGAGCTATCCATATGCTATTTGGAAAGAATGTTTGTTCCAAACGAATATACAAAAGGCACAGACAGGAAGGGAGAAGTAAAAGCAGCTGAGTGAGACATCTTAAATGCCAAGTTTCCTTTTAGTTTAGGGCTAGTACTTGGCAGGACACTGGTTTGTCTTGACTATAGTAATTCGAGATTTAAACTAATATTTTCATATCATATGGGAGCAACCTGAAGATTTTTATATTTTCCATGAAAAAGAAACAAAAGTAAAAAATGAGAGAGCAGGGGAAAGAGACAAACTTTATAGCTCAATTGTAAGAGAAATCATCTGTAATGGGTTTCAATACCCAATCTGAATCCAGGTACCCCAAACTGGAAGGCTAACAGCCAGCCTCATTTTTGTTTGTCTTCAAGGGGAAATTCTTTCCCGCATCCAATAAGACACTAAAAAAACCCTCTTTGCTGTATTCCACTTTTACTAGCAAAAGCACGGTCAGAAAATTCCCAACCATTCTAGATACAGGTCAGCCATGACCTTACTCCCTTTTTAAGCCCATCTGCCACAAAACCTCTCCCTCTAACCACTATTCAGATCAAAAGATGGGCTGAAAGGTACAGCTGTAGTACAGTGTATGATCATATATTATAACAGTACCCTTTCAGTATTTTTTTCAATACCCCTGACAGTCATGGGTGATACAACAGCTTGAGAACCCTTCTGTCCATCATGTACTAGAAACCAAGGTATATGGGTATAGCCACCATTCTCACTACGGCATTTCAGTGGAGAAAGATATGTTACTGTATAGTTATGACTTTACATGGGGAGGTGTGATTGGCTGCTATCAGACCCTTAACTTTTTTCTCAGATAATAACAATTACTGCTGTTTGCATTTCTTTCTGCATCTGTGTTTAGAAGCTGAGATCTGTCATGAAACCTTTTCATGTACTGAACTTTTGCTAACTTTGAAATGCAACACTTTTGTGGCTCTTACATGGCCGTAGCCTTAATTCTGTAAGGTACACAATTTTAAACCACTTAGAAAGTCCACTATAGCTACCAAGGCCAGACAGATACTTAAAAGTTATAGGCAAGACCTAGGATTTTGTTCAACTGAAATCTAAGAATAGAATGCTTTAACAGCAATATTATTATTTATTTTTTATATTATTATTATTATTTAACAAGAATATTCTCTATACACTACTCTCCCCAGAACAAAACCCAGAAGGAAGCTTTTCTCCATAATCTTACATTTTTATAAACTTCCAGTCTAAATTTATTTCCTGGGCTTTGATATTTGAGGCCAGATCTTTACTGCCACTTGCACATTCTCTCTTCTTTTTAATGTTTTAAAGTCTGGTGTCTGCAGTTTGTTGTCACAGTATGAACATATTAAATGGTTTTAATTTATTTTATCAGCTGATTTTCCTACCACGTTAAATTATTCAAATAAGTAATAACGCATCCTGTAGAAATAAATACCTGATAATCAAGTAATCAATGACTGCTTTGGCTTGCTCAATGCTGAAGAAATTCAAGTCACTACTTCCTGAATCACTTTCTCCTATTCCAGCCATTGCTCTTCCAAGTTCTTTTAAGTTATCTCCTAAGGTCATATGTTTGTCTGCAAAGGAATCCCAAACAACAAAAAGTAAGCATAAATACGACAGGGTTTTTTGGCCCATTTTAATTATAAGACATCTTGAAGTTTAAGAAGTTACACTATGAGCCATGCAGAAACTTAAAAAGCAACAGGAAACATCTTTTCAGTTGCCATTATTCTTATCAATAAAATGTGCATTGAAATTCCCTCACAAGGTCACTGATCCACCTTCATAATGTAGGGACCACAGTAATGGCTGTTGAAAACACTACAGCTCGGCCTCTTATGCAGAGATAACCAGCGGCAGCATAGAATGCAAATTTGAGATGCATAATACATTTATCTTTAAAATAAATTTACTACTGTTTATGTATTGTAAAAGATGATTCTTCTGACCATGTCCCTTGAAATATAAACCAGTAACACAGGAACAGATGTTAAAAAAGGGTAGCCAATATTTTTTAAGTGCTTACAGTCATAATTGATTAAACATGAATATGCATAATACTCCGTACGTATCATCAACCTTGGAGACATTTTTGCACCCCCGCACCCCAAAATAGGTCATTACTTTACATTTTTACCCTGGAAATAAAAAACAAATGCCAAAACAGCTTTGAAGTAAAATTTAAATTCTTTTTGTTAACTATCTTTACAAAGAGGAAAATATGAGATATATCAGCTTAACCTTCAAAAATAAAGGATTCGTCTTTCTCATTTGTGCACAGTGTGTGCCACCGCTAGAAGCATGATGGAGTTTAAAAAACTCCTGAACACAATTTACTTGTTCTTTTTAAGTCTAAAAAAATCAAGAGTAGAAAATAGCGAAATATCCACCAGTGGTGAAATATATTTCTTTTTCTTATTGTTTAAATTCTCTACTGATCTGTTCCTCGGTTCTCTGTACAGAAAACAAATTTAAAAACTCACAAGATTCTGGTGTTTATCTTTTGCCCTTTAGTGGTACAGCAATCAAACCCCTGAAAAATTCACCTCAGTTTTCAGTAACAGAGGCAGCACAATATAAATAACCGTAATGGAAGAAACAAGAAAGATATAGAGAGAATGCAGAGGACTAGAACCAGAAATATCACCATTAGCAGGGAAGTGAAGACACATGACAAGATCATGAGAAGTCACACCAGCTGGGCCCATTGCCACCTAGCCAAAATTCCTCTGCACAAGTGATTTTCAGCCCCCACTATCTCTCTCAGGAAGGAGCTCTCAGTACTTCTGTGAGGGAAGGAGCACTTTACCCTCAATGTATAGAAGATGAACCAAATCACCTGGCTCCCAATCAACTAAAGCCTCCAGTTTCCACACCTCAGTTTTCCGCGCTCCTTTACCAGCCTTAAATGACTTTCCACTACCCTCCTTCTCTAAATCCATTCTTCCTGTCCTATGCTATTCTTGCTATTATGGT